TTACATACACTTCAGTTTACATACACTTCAGGTTACAGACTCTGCTAACCCAGAAATATTTTTTTTTTTTTTAAAAGCAATTTATTAGGTTTTACAATAGGAATAAATGTAATAAACAATATAGCATTCGTCTTAACATATTTTCACATTTTCTTAGGACTTCCTCACATCTCCCGCTCCCACCTTCATCATTATAACATTTTGTCAGCAATTTATCATCTTATTTAAATTCTTAAATCTCTTCGATATTTCATAATCTTAAAGTTCTCATAAAGAGTTAAGCTTTCACAATTTTTCTTGTTTCCTTAAAAATTTCTAAGTTAAGTGGTGCTCAGTTATTTAGTCCAGCATCTTATTCAGCATTCAATCAAATCACAATGTTTTTGTAGGTAGTTCTTAAATTTCTTCCAATCCTCCTCGATTCTCTCTTCTCCCAGGTCACGGATTCTGCCAGTCATTTCAGCCAGTTGCATATAGTCTATCAGTTGCATCTGCCATTCTTCCAGTGTGGGTAGATCTTGGGTTTTCCAATGTTTTGCAAGTAGTATCCTTGCTGCTGTTGTTGCGTACATAAAAATGTCTGGTCCTTCTTTGCCACCCCTTGGCTGACAATACCCAAAAGGAAAGCCTCTGGTTTCTTAGTGAAAGTATATTTAAATACCTTTTTCAATTCATTGTAAATCATTTCCCAGAACGCCTTCACTTTAGGGCATGTCCACCAGAGGTGAAAGAACGTTCCTTCACACTCTTTGCATTTCCAGCACTTGTTATCAGACAGGTGGTAAATTTTTGCGAGTTTGACTGGGGTCATATACCATCTATAAATCATTTTCATTACATTTTCTTTCAAAGCATTACATGCAGTAAATTTCAATCCATTACTCCACAGCCTTTCCCAGTCCTCAAACATAATATTGTACCCAATGTCCTGTGCCCACCTTATCATAGCCGATTTAACCATTTCATCTTGTGTATTCCATTCCAACAGCAAGTTATACATCCTTGAAAGTATCTTAGTCTTTGGTTCTAACAATTCTGTTTCTAATTTCGATTTCTCCACCTGGAACCCTAGTTTCTTATCACTTTTAAAAACTTCTTTAATCTGAGCATAGTGTAACCAATCTCGCACTTTGTCTTTCATTTTCTCCAAGCTCTGCAATTTCCAATTGTCTCCATCTTTTCTAGTATTTCCCAATATTTTGGCCATTTGGCCTCCATATTGGGTCTTTTCGGGCCTTAGCTTCCAAGGGTGAAAGCCACCTTGGTGTTTTATTTTCCAGCAAGTCTTTATATTTTGTCCAGACATTAAACAGTGATTTTCTAACAATATGGTTCTTAAAGGCCTTATTTGCTTTAACTTTGTCATACCATAAATATGCATGCCATCCAAAAACATTGTTAAACCCTCCAAATCTAACACATCAGTGTCTTCAAGAAGTAGCCAGTCTTTTAGCCAGCAGAACGCTGCGGCTTCATAGTACAACTTTAAGTCCGGCAGGGCAAAGCCCCTCTTTGTTTTGCATCGGTTAGTATCTTAAACTTAATTCTGGGCTTTTTGCCCTGCCAGACAAACTTCGAAATATCTCTCTGCCACTTCTGAAAGCACCCCATTTTGTCCAATACCTGCAGTGTTTGAAATAAAAACAACATTCTTGGCAATACATTCATCTTAATCGCAGCAATTCGGCCTAACAAAGAAAGTTTCAATTTTGACCAACTGTCTAAGTCTCTCTTAATTTCTGTCCAACATTTTTCATAATTATCCTTAAATAGACTTAGATTTTTTGCTGTTATGTTTACCCCTAGGTATTTTACTTTTTAACCACATTAAGTTCCGTCTCATTCTGAAACCGTTCTGACTCTGTCTCAGTCAGATTTTTCCCCAAAACCTTAGTTTTCTGTTTGTTTAATTTAAATCCCGCCACCCGACCAAAGTCATTAATCAATTGTAATACTCTTTTCGTACTAGGCTCTGGCTTCTGCAAGGTCAAAACCAGGTCATCTGCAAAAGCTTTTAATTTATATTGTTTCTGACCAACCTGAATTCCTTCCACCAGCTGGTCCCCTCTGATCATGTTCAATAGCACCTCCAGGACCGAGATAAATAACAAAGGGGAAATAGGGCAACCTTGTCGTGTCCCTTTTTCAATTTTGAACTCTTCTGTAACCACATTATTAACTATCAGTTTTGCTTTCTGTTCTGAATATATCGCCTCAATCCCATTCTCAAAACCCCGTCCCACTCCCATCTCTTTTAAGTTTCCCATCATAAATTTCCAAGAAATGTTATCAAAGGCCTTCTCCGCATCTATAAAAATTAAAACAGCTTTTGTATTTATGTCAGTTTGGAGAAGTTCCAAAATATCAATAATGTTCCTTGTGTTAGCAAACAAATGTCTACCTGGGAGAAAACCGGCCTGGTCCTTATGAATTACTTCATTTAAAACTTTTTAAATCTACTTGCCAAAATATCTGCAAATATTTTGTAATCCACATTTAAAAGGGAGATGGGACGGTAGTTCTTCAGTTGTGTCTTTTCAGTTTCTAACTTTGGTATCAATGTGATAAACGCTTCCTTCCACGAATCCGGTGCCCTCTCCCCTCCATAATTTCATTGCTAACCTCCATCAAAGGTTGTATCAAATAGTCTTTTAGTGTCTTGTAATACTTGGAGGTCAGCCCGTCTGGCCCTGGAGATTTGCCAAGTTGCATGTTCTGAATGGCTTGTTCAATCTCCTGTCGTGTTATTTTAGAGTTCAGGATTGTCCTATTTTCTTGTGACAGTTTAGATAATCCATTTTTTGCCAAAAATTGTTTAATCTCAACTTCGTCTTGCGGCCGGGGGGTCTATCACTTTGTAAAATATCTCTGGAAACACTTTCTAATGTCCACTGGATTCTGAATGTTTCTTCCATCAACCTCTAAATTTGTAACCGTGTTTAATCTTTGTCTTCTCTTCAACTGCCAAGATAGCAGTTTTCCACATTTATTCGCCGACTCAAACGTTTTTGTTTCATTAATTTGATCTTCCATTCAATTTCCTGATTTATCAATTTAGAATACTGTGTTTGATAAAGTTTAATTTCTCTCAGAGTTGGCTGTGACTTTGGATTCACTCTTAATTTCTTCTCCAAGTCTTTTATTTTATCCAAAATCTTGTCTTTTTTCTCATTTTGTGTTTTTTTCTTTACTACATTCTGTTGTATCAGAAAACCCCTCATGACAGCTTTGCTTGCGTCCCAGACGATTCTTTTTTCCACCGAATTGTTCATATTTATCTCAAAATAATCTTTCAAAACTTTTTGGGCCTTCTTGGTAATTTCCTGATCTCTAAACAAATTGTCATTCATCTTCCATCTAAAGGATCCAGTTGGTAGTAGTGTCATGTCCATCTTTACTGCGTTGTGGTCAGAACAGGTCTTTGGGCAGATTTCCACTTTTCTAACCCTAGGTGCCAGGCCTCTAGAGATCCATATTTGGTCGATTCTTGTCCAGGTCAGTTGGGCTTCAGAAAAGAATGTTCCTTCTCTACCTAGTGGGTTTTTGTTCTCCAAATGTCGATCAAGTCCATATTGTCAGTCATTTCAAAAAAGGTTTTAGGTAGTCTGCCATCTGTTGTGATGTTTTGACTTTGCGACTTGTCCATGTTAGTTGACACGACCACAGTTCATGTCTCCCATCATTATGATGTTGTTGTAATCCAGATGATCCAGCATTGTCCCCTGCAACTTCTTGTAAAATTCCGATTTCCCTTCATTAGGCGCATAGATTCCTAATATCAGCAATTTCTCTCCTTGATATTGTATCTCAATAGCCAAAATCCTTCCATGTTCATCTTTAAATAGAAATTTAGGTGACAGGCTCTCTTTTGCATATATCACCACTCCTCTCTTCTTCACTTTATCCGACGAAATAAATTCCTGGCCCAATCTTTTATTTGTTAACACTTTTCTGTGGAGCCTCGTCACATGTGTTTCTTGTAAACAAATAATGTCCAATTGTTCTTTTTTTAATATATGAAAAATTTTCTTCCTTTTCTCCGGGATATTGCAACCATTAATATTCCAGCTCAACAGTTGCAGAGACATCCTGGATCTATCTGGTTATTTCTCCTGGGGTGGTGTCTTCTCTTGATCTTCAAGTTCCCGAGGTGGAGGTATTGATGCTGGCTTTGCCTCAGGCCCGGAAGGTAGTTCAATTCCTTTATGTAGGTCCTCTCCGTGTGTAGCCAAAAATTTATCTCTCTCTTCCAATGTTCTAATTTTAACCTTTCTCGCTCTAAAGGTAAAAGACAATCCCTGGGGAAAATCCCACCTGAATGGAATTGCGTTGCTCCTTAATAGTTTAGCTAGTTCAGAATAGGCGGCTCTAAGATCCAACAGTTGTCTTGGGATATCTTTATATATCTCAATTCTTCTATCCAAAACTTCCAGTGACTTTTCGTAATGTAGGCCCAAAATCTTATCCCTTTCCTCCTTCGATCTCAATGTAATCAAACAATCCCTGGGCCTCTCCTTCTTTATAAATCTTCCAAGTCTGAAAGCTGACACAATTTTAAAGTCCTTTTCTTCCAAATTCCAGAACTTGGAAAGTTCTTTGGTCAAAAACTCAGTTAGATTTCCTTCTTCTGCCTCTTGTAATGATCTAATCCTCAGATTATTCTCACGATTTCGCAGTTCTATCATAGAAAGATAAATCTGATGTTCCCCAACTTGTTTAGTGAGTGGTCTTACCTCTTGCTCTAAATTTTCCAATTTTTGTCTGGTGTCCTCAGCCAATTTTCGATTTTCTACTGAGGCCTCCGTCAACTGTCCAATTGCTTGTGTATTCTGTCCCACCTGTGTAGTTAATTTGTTTAGACACTCTGTATTTTTATCAATCTTTGCTGATTGCGCATCTACTTTCTTGTCCAAAGCTTCCAATTTTTCAAAGATTTTTTCTAGCACAGAAGCAGATGCTCCTGAGGCCATATCTTCCAATTGTAACTGCTCTACTTCACCCTCTCCCTCTTTTGCCTGTGGCAAGGCAGCTTCTTCAAGTTGTACTTCTGAGGGCAAAGTAGGCACAGATGATCTACGTGTCTGCGAGGCTGAGGTTAGATTTGTTAGAGTTGTTTGTCTAACTCTTCCTCTTCTTCTTGTACCACTCATTCCAATGTTATCTATCAGTCAAGGTCACACTGAGTTTTTCCCACAGGAATAGAGAGTCCCAGAGCAAGCAGACAACAAGAGAATCG